ACACTGACTCTGTAAAAAATCCGAGCTGCCTAGCCCCAGCTCCTTGCTAGAGTATATCTGTTTGAGAGTTCCACAATTTCAGTTTTAAAGCTTCAGGGCAAAAAAAATCATCAGGGTCAATCAGGAAAGAAAGGTCACTAAAACGCCCAGAACACGACTTCCCCTTTCCTTGGACCTCGGTTCTCGTGCTGTCTGTGGTGGCACCCTCATTACATCTCTCTGGACAAGAGGAACCTGAAGGCAACTCCCCACTGGCACCAGGAGAGGTAAGGGAGGAAAGGGATGGTCGTTCTCCTTGGTAAATTAAATGGTATTTGTGTCTGACTGCTGCACGGATCACGGTGATGCTCAGTTGATACGCCTACCGAGCTTTGGTGTAGCACTCCACAGATCCCAAGGCAAGCTACAAAGGACAACCCAACATCATCACCAGTTTCTACAGGCTTAGAAGGTGTGGCAAGATATTACTTTTTTGTGGTTTGGTTTTGTTTAGTTTTTTCCCAGGATGGGGGTCCTAAGCCTCTTGCTGTAGTGCTCCAGGGGTGTTATATTAATTCAGGCACCAGCTAGTGATGAAAAGATGCTGTGGACCAGTCTGGGATGACTGGTCCCATCCCCCAGCACACTCTACAGCTTTTTCCACAGGGGCAACGCTTCCACACATTGCTCAGAGGCAAAGGCAATGTCATAAAGCAGTCCAGGAAACAATAAGGTGAAAATATATGGATGAGTTAATCATAATTTAAAAAAATATTTTAGAAATTTTTTTACTTCAATTTAGATGTATGTAATATATAATTATACACAGAAGTTCTGTCATTCTTTGATAGATAGCAAAAGGTGTTTTGACCTACAGAACAGAACTTTTTCTTTGAAAATGGTGAAATGAAACATTCACAATTAAGAAATGCCTTTCTTCAAATTTTTCCAGATGGACTTACTCACCCCAGCCCTTCCTGGAAACTGATTTGCTTTTTAAGATCCACATTTTCTGATTAGCTCATCAGAAAATCCCTAGTCCTTTCTAACTGCAGAGGAAGGGAGAGAGACTGGAATGATTTATTGGTGGCTTTCTTGCCATTTCTTCATTTTTTTCCCCCTTTCTTCTAGTATAGATGTGTGTCCTGTCTATTAACAAGGCTGGCTGTTGCATTGTATAAAATCTATATGAACAAAACACTTGCACAAAAGGAAACCAGAAAGCTAATTTATGCTTTGAAACCAGAAAGGGTTGGAATATTGTATTTAATAAAGATGCATTTTCTGAAGAGCAAAGGAACCAGTTTTTCTACTAGTCTAGTTTGTAAGACTAGAAAGTCTTGTGAAAAAACATTCCTATTATAAGAATTTTGGTTTTATCTGATTTTTTCCCCGAGCAATGGGGAAATAGAGAAGCCAGGGGGTTGCAGAGGGCTGAGCAGGGCTGAAGGACTTTGCTCCTCTGCCAGCCCCCACATCCTGCTGGCGTGAGGTGCCGGCACCTCTGGGCTGGCTGGACACAATGGAGTTGATGTCTAAATGAAGAAAATAACCAAGCCGAAGAGAAGGGAGTGTAAGGGGGCTGTAGCCCCATCGCATGCATTTGCTGTCCCCAGCAAGCCTGGGTGCTCCCATCATGTCCCTGCAGCTGCCGGTGCCCCAGCACGATCTCATTGTCCTTCGTGCCCAGGAATTTTTCAGATCCTAATGGTGATAAGCACTTGCTTGGGACTATGCCAAGGAGAAGGGAGAGCTCATTGCACGGAGAGTCATTTTGACCTTGCAAACTCAATTCCTGTTCCACAGCCGAAGAATTTGGAAAACGTTTGGCTGGGCACATACCAGCCCGCGAGGAGCCAAGGCTCTGGGCACCAGCACCGCTCTGCTGCAGCCCCGCTGGGGTTTTTCTGCCAGTGGGACCAAGAACTGCTGAGGACACCTTCCAAATGGCAAACAGCGCTAACTTGTGAATGCACACTGGCATAAATACAGCAATGCCAAATACAGCTAACTAAAAAGCAGACACACAAATGTGGAAGTGTGCATTAATCCCTTTTTTTAAAATACACGAGTGCCCACTTTGCATTTTAATTTTATGCAGTCGCAGTGCATTCTGCAAAAAAAAGTCCTCAGTTTTGGTGCGCAAACCCTTGTCTTCACCGAGCTGCTGCAAGCATTGCCAAGGCTCCCCGTTCGGTCGTGTTCAGCTTTGAGATAGAGATCATGAGGATAGGTGGGGACAGATTTTCCTTGCCTGTTCAGGCAGGTTTAACCAGTATTGCATGTTAGTTAGGCAACTGATTGAAAGGACACTTAGTGAAGATTATTTAGCTGATAAATATATTGTTCTTTGTATTTAATTAACCATTTTATGTTCAATGCAAACAGGTCATCTCGTTGCAGTAAACGTTGCCTGTGAAGTAATGAGGTGGCCGTCTGAACATGAGGAAGAGCTTCTTCCCTCCGAGGGTGACGGAGCCCTGGCCCAGGCTGCCCAGGGAGGCTGTGGAGTCTCCTTCTCTGGAGATATTCCAGACCCGCCTGGACGCGGTGCTGTGCAGCCTGCTCTGGGTGACCCTGCTTGGGCAGGGGGTTGGGCTGGGTGACCCACAGAGGGCCCTGCCAACCCCGACCATTCTGTGATTCTGTATGTTACTGCACTTCAAAACTATGGAAAAAAAAGTGGATATGCTGGGCTGCCCGGGTTGGGCTGGGAGGAGAGGGTTAATACGTGTAGGAATGGGACGAGTGCAGGTGATGGGAGGGTTGGCCACAAGCACCTACCTGCAAACCCATTGCAGTAGCAGGGAATGCTTCCAGCAGAGACAGCAGCTAAATGTAGGAGGACGAGTAAGTGTCCGAGGAGGGACAGTGCGTGTTTATTCATGCTGGATTACAGGGCTGAGGACCGCTCAATTCGCAGGTCGCATTGCTGAGAGAGCGTGGGAGGAGCGGAGCTGCTCACTGCTCCACCACGGGCACACCAAGGCTTGTGGTGGGAGGCTGCATGGTGTCAGAATGATTTCTTCTCTCCCTTAGCTAATAAAATAGTTTACTTGGAAGAAAAGGGACGGTTAAGCAGGCCAAAGACATGATGTATATTTTTACTTCCCTGAAAATGGCCTTTGTACTGCAGCTCTCCCATCAGATGCACACCCACTGCTCCCTGTTGCAGGCTACGCAGTGATGTCTCTACCTGCTGAGAGCAGCATTCAGCCCTGCCGCGGGACTTTCATCTCGTTATGTCAGAAAGCATTCTTTCATTTTAGAGACCAACCAAGATATAAACCTAACCTTTGAGACAACCTCCTGGCCATGTGCTGCAGCTCCCCGTTGCCTTGTTCACCTACTGCCTGTCCCACCATGCTGGGTGCAACACCTTCTGCCCTCCCTGTGCTCTTGCCCCTTGCAGCCCCGCTCTAGCTCTAACTAATGGGACTGTGGCAGTGTTTTGACCTTGCATGACGGTAAGTCAGCAACGTGGCCCACCTTTCCTTTTTCCACGTGTCAGTGTGGGGCCTCCTCTGGGCAGGGACCTCTTTCCTGGGTCCTATCGGATGCCTCACGTGCTTGCCATCAGCTTAAAAAACCCAGCTCTGCCGCTGTGACAGTGAGGAAGAGAGGTCTAATGTATTATTGAAAAGCTATCCTAGCTTGCAATATTTAAGAAAGAAAAATGCAAAGGACAGAATAAATTATTATAATTTTAAGTCTATCGTGCACATAGGAGAAGAGCGAGGATATTCATCAGTCCATATGCCTCAACAGTTGGCTAGAAGTGTCGTCAAAATTTTGCCCAACCCTCTCCAGTTTCCCTAACCAGCGTGCAGTTTCTCTGAGATACCCATCTGCTCACAGTTAACTATTAAATTCATTCTGAAATTAATTTGGCAGCACAAAATCCTGTAGGATAAGGAAGTCAACATCTTCATCTACCCCCTTTTTTGGAACAGGTCATGACTTAGGCTGAGGTTAGAAAATCAGAACTTGAATTTTTGCTGTAATTTAAATTTCCTCCCCCAGACTCCTGGCATGTCACAGGAATACAGTTATTGCCCTACAGAAATTATAGTTTTGCTAGTCTGGCGTCCCGTTCCTGGCAGTGATCTACAGCAGATGCTCCAGCAGAAGACAAAAACATTAGGAACCAAATGGCAGTGAAATTCCATGCAGGACTGCCCTCGTCCCCAGGAGACACTTCTTCCACACCGGGCTCGGGCGGTGGGAGGGGTGTGGATGCTATACAGACCGCTTTTCTGTGGCAGGAGAGAGAAAATCCTTCTACAACGGCATAGCAAGACACTCCAGATACCATGGTATGTACGCCTGAATTTAATGCCGTGCGCCCAGCTGATTTAAATGTGTTTGTATGGGTTGATCACATCGCTTCTGAGAGTACCAAGATTTTAAGAGACACCGCCAATATTTTAATGTTGTTGGAGTTAGTCTGGGTAAAAGCTACATTGGTGTTTTGTTCAGAGCAAACAGGAGCTGAAGCAAAGACGCATAATCCAGAAATGCCACTTCTGTACCGCGTATCTCACAGCGATGGCTGCGGCAACTGTGGACTCTGTGACACGGCAAAGATTTTTGAGTTCAGATCTGCTGAAGCCGTGCACAGCCTCTCTGCAAATCTCAGGCACAAATGGGGTTTTAAAGACTCTGAGTGTCCTGGGCAGTTCTGCATCGTGACCTACAGACACTGCCTGACCGGCAGAAGCTAAGGGATCTCCGCACCGCTCTGCTGAAACGAGCAGCCGTGTATTTATTTGGAAATCTTCCTGCTCCATCTCAATAGCTATTTGTCATGTTCCTTAATGCCACAGCTGTTCGGTTACACCAGGTCATCTGCTTTTATTAGTCCTGTTCCCACCACCCACTGAAACTCACACCAGCCAGGAGAAGATTCTTACCCATGTCCAAAAATAGCGCTTCTCTCGTCCCTCTCTCCCACTGATCCAGGAAACTTCAGGGGTTTTCTTCTTTCCTGATCTCCAATTCTGCTGCCTACCTGCTGCCCCATGAAGGCTGGCGCGGCCGCCCTGGCAGCCGGGATCCTCGGCGGCACCGGCGGGTTGCTCTTCCTCGTTGCTTTTGGGGCGGCTTACTGGCTTTTATGGCGGCGTCTTCGAGCGTGGGAATAGCACTCTGCGGACCGGGCAGGTAAACGCTGAGATCTTATCTTGCTTCGGAAGAATCGAATTGTTTAAATATTTAAAAGTCTAAAATTTTTGAAGTTTGGAATCTGTGATAATATTTATGCTGATTGAAAGTGACCTGCTAATGTCAAATGGCAGCCTGAGCTGACCTCAAAATCCAAACCAGCATTTCCATGCCACCTAGCATTTCGAGTGAAGTAAGGTGCATCTAGGAAACATTGAGACAGCACCTCTGTAATCCGGGAGCTACGAACATTAGGGAATGAAAGGCAGAAATGCAAGAGCGTTTATTTGTTGACAGCGTTTGCCTCTAAAGACAAAAGATATCTCCTGATATTTGTCGTTAAAAGATTTCTCCCTCTGCAGTTTCTTCATTTAAAAATACTTCATATTTTCAAGTGTAGGACTTGGCAATCACTTACTTCTGAAGCGATGTGACTACAGCACAGACAGAAAACAAAGAGAACATCAGACGCAGAACAGAGTAGACAAGAATTCCTGTGCGTCTAACAAGAAGAGGTCTATATATTTCAGAATTAAGATTTATGTAGGATTTTATTCAGCGGGAAAAGTAATTTTTGGATTTATTATTTTAGTGCTAACTGCCGATATCACTTGTGGAAGTTTGATTTTTAGCTGCACTTACTGTTTAACTCTTCGACGAAATAACAACCAGATCAGTTCCTCGAGCCACCCACTCTTCAAAAATGTTTTTGTGCTGATCAATGTGCGGTTTCAATTACAAAATGACAGGAAGATCCTTGTTGTGTGCAGACTTTTTGTTACTTCAAAGTTCAACCCAATTAGGTTTGATTTTTATTTCTGGTGCGGTGAGTCACACTGGGTAAGCATCAAGATGCCAGCGAGAAATTTTTTCTTTCATTTCAGAATCCCAGAATCAAATGTAGGACAGTGTTCGCTTGAGTCATGTTTCCAAATAACTTTGTTGAAAAAAAAAAGATTATGATAGAAAAACTGCCTGGCAGAAGAGCGTGTCTTTACAGTGTAAAGCAGCATAGCAGAGCTCTGGAGATGGGCAGGGAGTCACGGACGGAGGAGTGCCTCTCAGTTTTTGTGCACTTGGGAGAAGACAATGTTGATTATTTCAGATTTTTGTTTGTGCTGTTGTCTTTTAAAGTGGAGAGACTAGAGGTGTTGCACTGCATGAAGTGAATAAGCATCTCAAACGTTTCAGATGTGCTCTTGGCCAAGTGTAAGTGCACCTGTCACTAAGGCAGAGCGACTTCAGAAGTGCCAGGCACAAATAGGAACTGCTCTTGCTCTTTCCTCTGAGCTATTTTACTTCTATTTCAGACACTGTTTCTATTATTTCTATTTCAGTTACCGGTTGTGTACAACGGGCTGTGTTTTACCTTCTCTGCCCGTTCTTCAACTGGCAAATCCTGTCCCTTACAGATAATAAGCATCTCAAACGTTTCAGATATGCTCTTAGCCAAGTGTAAGTGCTCCTGTCACTAAGGCAGAGCAACTTCAGAAGTGCCAGGCACAAACAGGAACTGCTCTTGCTCTTTCCTCTGAGCTATTTTACTTCTATTTCAGACACTGTTTCTATTATTTCTATTTCAGTTACCGGTTGTGTACAACGGGCTGTGTTTTACCTTCTCTGCCCGTTCTTCAACTGGCAAATCCTGTCCCTTACAGATAAGGATGGTCTTGAGTGTCTGCGAAACAGCGATTAAACGTGCCGTAGATGCAATAAGTCAGCAGCCAACCTGCTGCTGAAGAAGTTTGGGGGCTGCGTGTTACAATTGTCATAGTTAGTATTTTATCCTGAAAGTAAAAGGAGAAACAGGTCAGAGCTCTGCAGGCAGTCACAACTTGGCACGTAAAAACCTCGAGGCAAGCAAAGCATCTTCTAGCACCTACCCACTGAGTCCCATCTCCTTTCTCTGGTTCACAGGGTCCAATCCCATACAGAGTTTCTCCGTCCTTCACGTAACGTATTTTTGTAGCAGTCATGTCTCCTATAGCAAACTGTATGTGATAAAGATACAATTGATATTTGGCCATAGTTTTAATAATTTTTTTTCGTTAATAGTCCATGACTCAACTTTGCAACATCCTCCCTTCTGTAAAGACCTAAACCTTGTACTCATGGGTCTGGGGGTTGAAGTAGACTCATCAAAACAGGAAAAATTGTCAACATTCCTATCATGGTCTAAGAGAAGGCTGACGTGGACAGAGTAATTCGTGTCTCATGTAGGTTTAGCATAACTTCTACTGGCTCAGCGGAGGGAGAGAATGAAGAAAACTATCGGGCTGGTGATTGGAAGAGCCTCACCGGGAGTGTTAGAGATGGGCTGTCTTCTGGGGCTAAGCCAGACCTTACATGGATCCCGCAGAGTAGCAAGGACATCTGAACTGTTGCATTGGGTCACACCTAAAATTGCTTACCTGGTAATTAACCTGCTTCCAACTGATTACAACAGCAGTAAAATTTACTTAAGGAAAGAGTTTAAGAAGTAGAACACAAGTAGAATACAACCAGCCTGGTATACCTGTCCTGATCTGGCAAACAGTGGTTTAAAGATATTAGAGAAAGAAGAAATGGTTTTGTGAACGTCTGCAGGACGATTTGTAGTGAGAACATTTTATAGCTGTTATACGGCAGAAAGTCAAGGGCAGCAGCTGCCTTTGTTCCCCAACCCCTCCAAAACAAACTCGAACAACAACAAATGAAAATCCCAACAACAAAACGAAAGCAGAAACTATCTAATCCAAAAATACGTGCTTTCCACCTTTCCATCTTGATCATCCATGTATCAGCTTGGGCTTTCATTCCTCTGCAGGCTGAAACACCGACAGAGGTCAGGAAGGAGATCCTCACTTTCCATCACGAGGGCTTCTTCTGGCGGTGCTGGTTCTTTGGTGAGGGCCATCCGGAGACCATCTGGACCTTCTGGTACAGTAAGTATGATGCCACTGCACCATATCCACAGCATTCGCTCGCAGTTTGAGTTGCAAACAAGCACAAGAAGGCCTCCCAGGGATGAGGAGACAGTTGTCTTCATTTCACTTTTTTTTCATTCTCGTCGTCTCTCTATCGAAAGCAAACTTGGCTCACCCTTTCTGTGCTCTTTTTTTGACTTGGATTTTGCTCTCAGAGGGTTGTTCACAGAAATGTGGGAGCCTCTTGATGCCATTTAATACATTACCTATAAAGTCTTGTGGTGTGGTGGCTTCCACCAGCAAGGACAACTCTTCCCCCATACCTCTTGATGCTTTTCTTCAGCTAAGGTCTGCTAAATGAGCCCATGCCTTTCCTGACCGTTAGCATAGCTCTTCAGTCAGAGTTCTCAGCCATCAGGGTGCCGAGCGTTCCCACCTCCCGCTGATTTCGGCATGGGGAAGGCTGAACATGCACACGTGTGGTCTCCCTGGGTGCTCAGGACCTCAAGTAGTGGGCAGTGGTGGACGATGGCGAGAGAGCTGTAACCACGTGTGTTTATGCTCTTGAGCACACAAGACCTTGATTTTAAGATCTTGCCTATTTTGCTTTTTAAGGTAATTGAAATTACATACGTGATTAAACAGACGGATGCAAAATAATTTTTCTTTTTTTTCCTGAAAGCACATTCACTCTTCAAAAAGAAATTGAAGGAGAAGGTGAAACCTGTTCTGAGACACCAGTTGGTGCTGACTGGTGGCAGTGAAGTGTGGGGTCTTGGCCCAGTGAACCAGGCGCTCCCACCACCCCCCAACACGCCTGGCACCAGCCCCACTGGCAGCCGAGCCAGCAACCGGCTCACCTGCATTAGTGCGCAGTGGGTAATTAGAGGACAGCCTTTCCCTGGGATGCTGCAACCCTAGAGAAGTATTGGGGATAAAAAAGGAGATTTTAAATAAGTTCTGCAAAAGCCTTGACCCTGAGCTCCCGGCTCCTTCGGTCTGCTCAAAGATGCTGCCATGTCAGTGGAGCAACGTGGTCGCCTCACAGGGCTTTGGGCTGTAAATGATGTGGGTTCCCACAATAATTTTACTCCACAATGATTAAAAGTTCAGATGGCTTTGCTGTCCCCCACTCCCTGACCCGTGTTTTCCAAAAAATCTTGCAGGAACAGTTACTGCCACTGTTCAACTGAACGACGTGAGATTTTTCACGCAGAAATTTTCTGATAAAAAAGGACAGTCTGGAGAGAGGGAGTTTGCTATCTAATTACATGATACGGAAATACATGATATAATATAATGTTACCTGAAGTAAAATGACTCTTTCTGATAACTGGCAAATTTGTATTACTTCTTTAGGTATTTATTATAATAGGATTGATCATGGCAAATTAATTTGCTGGTCTCATGGATGTAATAATTAATTCAATAGGTATTCCATAGTCAATTTAGCATGAACTAATGTCCACCTATTATAAAGTGTTCCTTTGAGCTGGGGAACATATTTAAATAAGTGGCCAACCATTAATTAATTCATTTAACGTTCATTCTATTACCGTTAATCAAGATAAGCCTCAATGGTATTAATATTGATGGGGCACTTCCATTCTGATTATGCTTTCCTTTCTCACAAACTGGAGGTCTTGGAAGGTGGCTTGTCCTGGTACCCAAATACCTTTGCCCCTTCCAGGTGATCTGACACGTTTTCTGGAGGAAAACAGCAGTGGGAATATTGACGCTGATTTGAGTTGCTCCATCTTTCATGATTTATGTCCGCCTCAGACTCGGGTTATGAAGATGAGAAGATGTATGGGGTAGCGGTCTCAGATCCTGTTATACCTCTCCTTTCTCATAATTCTTTTTCTGTTTTCTCTCTAACCAGGGTTTACCATCCTTCTTTACTCCCCAGCCTTCTGATTTCACTGAGGGTTTTGCAGAATAGTACATTGCCATCTTGAATACTGTATCTGTGATTTTGCAGAAAATAGAAGCAAACAGGGGTTTTTTTTGTTTTGTTTTTCTTTTTCAGCCAGCCAAGCACACCCCAAGTTCTGCATGCATGGCTACCTCTTTCCCATGCCCATTGCGCTTGGACCTTTCCCCCATCCTTCCTACGACACGACTGCAGGTGGGTTTCTTTCCTTCTCCTCCAGCAGCTCCTTTCCCAAGCGACAGGGCAGAGATTTACCATGTGTGTCAGTGCTGCGGTTCTCCCATTGCAAATGCGTATGGCCAACACTTTTGGAAAGCTCCTTTACAAAATGCCTTTGCTTAGTCAACAAAAGCTTTGCTTAGCCAAGTCCCGAGCACCTTGAGATGTTCTCCCACATCTTCTTTCCTCCAGAGCCAGCCATGCCTGACCATGAGCTATGCACCCTCCCACTGGGTGCTCATCACCTACTCCTATGAGCAAGGGAAGATGCTAAATCCATTCTCTCCCTTCTCCCACCTCCTTGCTCGCTGGGAGGAGTGGGGGGCAAAGGGCTTCAGCCCTGTGCCCAGATCCAGATCCTGTGGGCAAGCAACAGGAATAATTTCTCCTGGGCTGCAGGCTTGTGACAGCCCAACACGGACTCGTTTCCCGAGTCTGACTCCCTGGGAGAGCTCTAGTGTTGATTGGTTGCAAGACAAAATAAACAAGCACTGGAAAATCAGTTAAAGACCAAATTGTTAGAAGATCCACTTAAGTGACTGGCTTATTCTTAATACACCAAATATGACACAGTTGGAGAGCGCTCTTTTCAACTGGTTCCCTTTTATTTATGTTTCTCTATATTTTCAGAGTTCTTTAATGAGTCAGCTGCTGTTAGGAATTTGAATTTGCTAAATTGGTGTCAGCAGCTCGAATTAATTCAATGATCTTTTTTGAAATGAATTGATTTCTTTAAATAGTGTGCATCACTCCATGTTGCCTCCAGGGATCTGGGGCAGGCATGCTGCACAAACAAACATCTTGACCTTTTCCTTAGCCTTTAGCAGTACCTTTTTTATTTTTATATATTTTTTTATGAGGAATTAATTAAAAAAAAAAAACCCAAACACCATTTGTCAGTAGGAGCATGCGAGGGAGAGCAGCTAGTTTCTTTTGCTGCGCTGTGCAGGATTCCTGCCTCGGGGAACACACCGCAGTGTAAAATGGATACAAGGGACCCGTCGATGGTAGGAGGAGGAGCCCAACGCAGGCTGTGTGCGGCAAACACGCGGGTTAAGTGGTGGGGTTTTTTTTCTGCTTAGGAGAGGCAGGCGTGACGTCTGGTTTCTGAATGATCTTGCTGATAAGCACACTATTTTTTCCGTACTAAATAAAGGGCCCTGGAGGCATCTGTCCCTGCCTGTCAGCCCTTGCTATGAAATCCTCTTCAGCTGCCTTCCAGAAATGCCCTTTGGGACGGGTCCCGGGGAGGGCTCCGTGCAGGGGCTGCACCCTGGGGTGCCGTGGGGTTCTGCCAATTCACCTCTGTGCTCTGATCCTGGGGAGAGAGGATGTCTCGGCACCCACATTTAGGGCTCCTCTGCCGCCCCAACCCCTCAGCAAAGCACTTGGACAACTGCAGAGAGCAGATGCTTCCGTCGGTGACACTCATTTTATTTCAAACCAGTCCATCCTCATATGCAAATGATGACAAAACGGGAGGCCATCCAAGAAGAGGGGGGTCCTCCAGCTATTACCTGCTCCAGAGATAATTCTGCCTTATCTGCATCCTCTTAGGCTCCCTGAGAGAGATGGGTGACGGGAGGTTAAACATGAAAATGAATTCTGTGGTTTTGGAGAGTTCAAGATACTTATCTCTCCCTAAGTGGCTCTCCTGACAAAATGGTTTCCAATGAGCAAAACACATCTTCTCTGTATCATTTTTCTTTCAAGTGTGAATCATTCCAGCGTTGCCCGCTTGCTTGTGCTCGGCTCAAATCTAAGTAGTCTTTCTGAAAAACAGCAAGCAGAGCCAGATGGGGTGGTCTGAGGGGACCAGAGAAATCAGGGGAATTGGGAGCAGGGTATCAGAGGGTCTCTACCTGAAGACCACCCCCTTTGGCCAAGGCTTGTGGCAGTGGCTGGAAGAGACCTGGTTGCTAAGAGATTTAAATTAGTTGGCTACGTCCCGTCCCGTGGGGTGTGATGGACGCAAGCTCGCTTGGCTCTGGCTGCTGTGGTTGCATGAGGGTGCAGCACCCCTCCCCAAAACTCAGTGGGTGAAGAGGCGGCTGTTCTCTTACTGGGGGTTAAGCAAGGCCACTGATGGGGGAAATCATGAACTCTCGTTTTCCCTGCAGTCCTGCAAATAAAATCCGCCTTTATTTTAAACCAGGAACCTGGCACCTTCTGTAAGTGTTAATTAAAAAGGAACAAAGACGTGGTCTGATTCCGTCTCTCCAAATTTTGCTATTTTCCTTCCTTTCTTGCCAAGCTCTTCCATCCCCCACAGGCACAGCTAAGCGTGGTGTCCTTTACTCTCACCCCCTTTTGTGGCTTGCTTCCCTGGCAAAGCCTTCCACCCCCTGTACTCCTTCCAATCCCGTTACGTAGGGCATGACAGCCAAGCTGAACTTGCACCGGTTCCAGCCACGTTGCACCCACGCCGCGGCAGGGCATTAGCAAAGCGGGAGCTCCAGCCTAACACGAGCAGCGTTACAGGTTATTGCTTTTACTCTTGCTGAAGCAGGAGTTAAACACAGACTGAGGAAAACCACTTTCCCTCTCCTTTCCTATGACTTTACTCTTTGTGACCGTGCAGTGTACAGAGGCTTCTGGACGGCGTTCATCCTGCTGGCCGTGGCCGCCGGGCTGGTGGGAGGGCTGCTGCTGGTCTGTGGCGTGCCCTTCGTCAGCCCCCGGTCCTACAAAGTCGGAGGAGGATTCCTCCTCGCCTCGGGTAAGTGTCGGTAATGGGATATGGCCGGGGCAGGGACGCTGCGGCCGAGCTCTGCCTTGTGTGTGCGG